GAGAGCACGTGCATTTTGAAACTTTGTACATTTCTTAGCCGTCCTATGCAAAACAACAACGTGAAATCACCAAAATTTGCGTCGTCTACGAACCGAAACCGCGACGGCAAATATTTCAGTTTCCATTTGGAACTCAACGCTACTTTTATACGTCATACTGAAGTTGAGCTGTGGCGCCGTATGAAACAGTAAGCTCTTGCAGCTATTTTTGAAATTATAACTAAGAGTAGAAATTAATTTTTTAATCGATGTCTTCCTTGGCGTTGCCGTCCTGACTGCTTAAGGTCCCTAATACAAATTTTTAACACTGTGCCTCTTATGCATCCATTCAATCATGCTCATGTTGTAAGGCAGCACAACTGTTACAGCGATTGAAACGGGCCATAGTATGGAGATCTGCTGTGCAAGATCCTCAACAACATAGTTCTAAGAAGCTGGAATCTTTAAGGAGCACTCACTATCTATCACTGGGGAGGGTGCGGAGGATATGAAGGGGATCACGTGGTTTTCAGAGGGAATGAAGGAGAAATCAGTATTAGGGGCATTTTATTGAAAACTGGATGTCAGTTAATTGACAATAAGGGGAAAGGGAATGATGACAATACCACAGAGCTTTATGGGAGGATCAGGTAAATTTCGTCGTAACACAACTAATATCCTCTAACCCCAACCCGTCCCCCCACGTTTCGCCTCCTGCCCGGGCGATAAATCAGTAATGACCGGTCGTCTTACGTACGCCTGAAACCGTCCACAAAAAACCATCGATTCCGTGTAGATGTACTTACATGCATTAACGTGGCACCTTCGTAGTCTTTAATGTAACCAATGTAGGATGACTTCTGCATTCTAATATCCTTACTAAACCCCTAAAACGAGTAAAAGACAGGTAAAGACTAAAGGGCAAACCATTGGGCGAGAATAACACTATGGGTGAAGAGACATATTCCTGTCGCTTCACACTAAGGAAACCTGGGAAAGCCTCAGATATGTGGGCCACTTGACTCTAGTAATGATTCTACCGTTTATAAAAAGGTGGCAGTTTGTTACAGAGACCCACTGCAAATACCTGACGCTTTGTGTATGCCGATTTATTTAAGAGCACAGAACGTTTTCAACCTTAAGAATGAAGTTTACTGACGAAGATCTCACCCTCACATTACCCAGAGGAGCCATTAAAATTGACAGTAAAATCTGCGACTAGCAGTCTTCACAAGTTACCTGTTTTTTGAAATAACCTATCGCGTACTCGTCGGCATAGGTGAGAAAATTCAGAACGGAGTGTTTGACGTGATAATCCTTGAGGTGGTTCATTAGATGTGTTCCATAGCCCTGCAGAAATAATCAAAGAAGTCTTCCATAAGTCGACGGAACAATCGTTCATCCGCTGTTGGCAAAAAATCAGCACATCGTTGGGATATCGTTGCTGGCGCATATTTCATTTACAGGTTGAAAAAGCAAAACCGAAGTAGTCCCGGCGACGAATCAGATTAGAGAACATTGTCTCCAGGACCCAATCAGAAATGAAAGTTTAAATGGAAACCTTACGCGCAGCAATGCACAAGGGGCCAAGTCGAGACCTGAGGGTTAGTATCGAAACTAATTGGAACACCAAGTGGAACCAGTTTTTGAGAAAAACTACTGAATAAAGCAGAACCAGTAATGTAAGTGTGACATCGTTCGCATGGAATTGTTTTTAGTACACATTAAACTACATTTTTTTTTTATTTCTTTACACAAAAAATGATATCGGGATGATTTTGAATTACTTCAGTGTTATTCTTCAATTTTAAAAAAAAATTGGCTCAACATCATCACTACCTAAAGAACATTCGAGTACCTTGACTTGCTCATTCGAGGTCACGGCACAGAACACGATTTCTGTGAAATTCTGAGTGGGGAACATACGAAAGCAAATTCCACCAATGGGTTTGTTGTCCTTAACCAGAGCTAAAGTCTTGTGTTTCCTAAAAAAAAAAACAAAAAAATTGAGATGACCGTGAGCGCCTTTCTAACGTTACCGCTGAAAAGGCAGAACCAGAGAGGGAAATACTGAATCTGAGTGGAATACTTTTGAGGTGCTGTACATGACAGTCGTAAAATTCACCCCAAGCCAGGG